ACTCTCTCCCTGGGCTGTTGGGGCATGCCATTCCCTGTCCGCTGCCTTCAGAGTGCGTGCAGGCATGCAGGCGGAGGAGCTCGGAGGATGGGCCGCCTGTGCTTCCTCCCCCGAGTGTGTGGCCTTCATTCTCTGCTCAGCCCTTGTGTGATTATGACCGATGGAGTGCGAATTTGATCGGGTGGAACTGGGCTTGAAGTCCGAACCACTGCCCCGAAGTAATCCCTCCGCCTCCTCCGGAAGGCCTGCTGTGCAGAGGGCAGGCTGATCCTCAGAGCAGGGGGAGCCCCTTGCTGTGAGCCAGCCAGGATTTATGAGGTGCTGCATCCAGGCGTGACTGAAGGCTGGGGCACAGCTTTTTCTCAGAGCCCTCCTGGGCGGAGACGGATGGAGCTGGGGACAGCCTGCAGCAGGCTGCGGCCTACGATCCCACACTGCCACCCAGCGGGAGGACGAGGCGAGGGCGCGTGCCGCGCTGGGTGCGGGGCTGTGAGCTGAGCTGTGGCTGGATGACACCAGTGCACTCAGGAGTTCTTTTGGGTGGTGTGTGCTCGTGGGTGTGCATGTGTGCGTGCATGTATGTGCATGTGTGTATGTGTGTGTACGTGTGTGTGCATGTTTGTGCATGTAGGCCTGAGAGAGTTGGGAGGGGTGGGGAAGGGAAGGAGGGGACACAGGGGCCCAGGTGCAGGGAGGGCAGGGCGGGCAGGGAGGAGGGCAGGTGGAGGGGCCCAGGTGCAGGGAGGGCAGGGCGGGCAGGGAGGAGGGCAGGCAGAGGCCTGCCATGTCATGCTCTTCAGAACACACCTGTACGCTCCGTGAATTCTGCTCAGTCATGGTGTGTGTGTGACACCAGGGTGGCACACAGAGGACTGTCAGTGTCACTGGTCATGCTGACCTCTGCCAGTGGGGAGAAGCTCTGGGTTCATGGCGTGCTGACACTGGGTGGCAGCGACCTCGGCCTCGTGGTAAGCTCTGCTCAGGCTGCCATGCAGAGCAGCGACACCAGCGTTTCTGCACAGGCAGACTCCCTGGCCCTCCGCGGTCTTGCTCACCTGACGCCCTGCCTCCCCAGGTGCCAGGTGGCCATCCCAGGCTGCCCACACGGCAGTGCCCTGTGTCCTTGGGTGCACCCACAGGGCGAGGCAGGCGGGGCCCAGGGCTACCCGGGGACGGGGGAGGGGGCTCAGCCCAGTGGGCACAGCCACTGTGTGGTTCGGGCAACCCGAGGGCACTGGGTGGTTCGGCAACCCCGAGGGCCGGGATAGTTCCTAGCTACAGGCGGGGAGACCTAGTCTGGCGAGTTCAGGCAGAAAAGGAATTTGTGGAGAGCGCTGGGGACTTCACAGGCGTTTTGGAAAGACTGGAGGACAGCCTGGTGCTGCGGAGGGAACAAAGCCTGAGTCTCTCCACACGCGGCCTTGAGGCCCCTCTGCTGCTGGAGGCTGCGGATGTGTTGCTAGGCTGCCACCGCGTTGCTAGGCTGCTGCCGCGTTGCCATGGAAGCGGCTGGAGCTGCAGTGTCTGAGCCTCCCCCAGCCTCCCATTCAGGGCGGGGGCATGTGGGTGCTTCCCGTTCAGGGCCACTGCATGCCCACAGGGCCATGGTCTGAGGCCCATGCTGCAGTCTGCACGGCCGCTGCGGCACTTGCTGGCATCTGAGCCCAGACGCGGGCCAGGAAGGCTCGTGTTTTTCAGCTTCTGTGGGGGGACGGGGTGCCCTGAGCTGAGCCAGTTAGCTGTTGATATGTAACAGATCGCCCCACCTCCGGTCTTGAGCCAGGGGCACACGTCCAGCCAGGGCTGTGTAGCGATTGGGCCCAGCCCCCTGCCCCCGTGCACACCGGCACCTCCCGCCAATGCTCCTGGGAACCGGGGCTGCGGTGCTCCCTCCCTTTGTATGGAAGTTCTCTGTGTCCTGACAGGGCGGAGACAGCATGAGGCCCCGCGGAGCTGCAGGACGGCCAACTGCTGCTCGGACCCGCCCGCGGGCTGTCTGCTGCGGGGTCGGTCTGTGTCCAGCGTGGAGCCCTGTCACACTCATGAGGCAGAGGGTCCACCTTTAACATTTTATTTTAAAGATTTAAAACATTTTATTTTATTATTATTAGTAATTAGCTATAGGGCACATGTGCTCATCAGAAAGAGATGAGAGAGAGAGAGAGAGAGAGAGAGAGAGAGAGAGAGAGAAAGTGAGAAAGCAAGCCACCAGGTCTGGGACTTGAACCACAGATGGCCATGTGGGAGTCTAATGCCTTAACCACCACACTACCTGCTGGACCCAAATTTTATTTAGTTTGTGGGGAAAAGTTCATTTATTTACGGAGCAGGTGCAAGAGGGAGACCCCAGGCAGGGTCTGGCCGTGTCCCAATTTTCCCCCAGCCGTCTGGCCAGCCAAGGTCAGGGAGCAGGTGGGCACAGCCTGGGCGTCCCATGCGGTTCTGGTACCGTGTGGAGGCGCCCTACCGCCTGCCCTACTGTGACCGGGCTTCCCTCTGACGTTAATGAAGCTCATTTTAATTTTTGAGACGATTTATTAGAGATCTGGTGGCTGTCTTGATGCATAGTGAGGCTCGCGGACCCTTGCGTGGTGTGTGCAGGCCTCACCTTGGCTCTCATGGAGCTCACGGCCCTTAGTGGATGCAGAGTTCTGGTGAGAACTTGGGGCTGCGACCGCACATCAGGCGCCTTGACTTCCCCTTGGGGAGAGGGTTGGGAGCCTTCCTCAAGAGCGTGTAATTTCCCGTGGCTTTTGTCTGTGCCCGGCCCGCACTCGGGAGTGGGCTGGCCCGTCTGCTCTCACCACAGCACCTGAGCTGCTCACGTGCGGGTCGGGGCGACGGAGCCTGGGTGCTGGGGCCTGCTGCGCAGAGACTCGGGTTCGTGCTCTTGGAGAAGCTCACCCAGCATGAGGGCCCGGCATGGGGCGTGGGCAGTGCGCCTGTGTGCCACAAGGATGAGCCGGGCCGAGAGCCTGGTCGCCCTGAACATATCAGGTAACCGTGTGGGAGGTCGGGATTGCGGGGAGGTGAGGCTCTGCTGGGGGTGCCCCCCCTCCCTCTCCGGAAGTAAAGAAATAGTTTCTTCTTCTCTGTTTTCAGAAAAAGGATTTCATCTGGGAGGGGCAGCCATGTAGCACAGACTTGAGGGTCAGGTGGGAGCTGAACACCCAGGCAGGGTGAGGGATGTGTCTACTGTCTACACTGCCTGGGGTGGCAGAGGGGCTTCCTGCAGGGAAAGGCAGGCCAGGGGTAGGGGCCAAGGCCAGAGGGAAGGGCAGCTTGCGATGATGGACCCAGCTGGGACGTGATGGTCTCTTTTATTTAGTTATTTAGTTTTTGAGAGGTTTCTGCTATAGGGCGCGTGTGCTCGCCAGAAAGACAGCGATAGGAAGCGAGAAATCACCCCCCAGGGGAGATGGCCATGCCACAATCCCTTCTCCTCCATTCTCCTCTCAGGATCTTGGGCACATGAGGAAACATGCCTGGTGTGAGTTTAAGCCACCGGGTCTGAGACTCGAACCACAGTAGACTACGTGGGAGTTCAGTGACATATCCATTGCGCCAACTGCTGGTCCCAGGATGTGATGGTCTCTTGCATGTCCCGGCAAGCACACTCGCCACCCATTGTGTCGTTCGGACTCTGGCTGCAGCCCCGCCTGCCGGGCGCCTGGGGGCACCTCCTTCCATTCTAAGCTGGGTTTCTTCATCTGGACAGAGGCAGCACCTGCTGCCCACGGAGGTCCTGACAGCTCTGCGAGGCCATGTTGGTTCCCGCCTCGGCTGTCCTTTCTCCGTGGAAAGTCCTTCCTCAGCGGGGTCTTTGAGGCCCAGGCACCCCTGCCTGCACTGAGCCACAGGACAGAGCAGCCATGTGGCCTTTCTTGGGGTCTCCGACGTCAGGGGCATTGGACTCCCACGCACGTGCCCACTTCCTGGGACTGAGGGCCCTTAGCCTTAAGGCAACCTCAGAGCTCGGCGTTTGCTGAGCCAGCCAACAGGTGGCGTCGAGGATCAGGATGCTGTCTCGGTGCTGGCTGGACCAGGAGGGGGTTTTGGCCAGGCCTCTGTGGGTAGCGGTTTGGTCAGGGGTGATGGGGGTCTCGCAGGCTGACAGGGTCGGGATTTGCAGGAGGAACCAAGCCTTGCACTTTGGCTTTGCAGAGACCTGCTTGTCCAGTGGCCCCGCCCCTGAGTGTCACCCCCCTGCAGCCTTTGTGACATCACACAGGCATGCTGGTCTCCGGAAAGTTCTGTCTCCACTTTGGGCCCCAGAACTTTCCCCGAGCTGGCACCTGAGCACCACGGGACTGTGGGTGGCTTGTGGGGAGCAGGAAGTCTGACCCTCGTACTGGTCTCCAGACCCTGGCCAGCTGGAGTGTGGTCATTAATGACTTGCTGTCGGTGACGCTGGCATTGCCACGGGCAGCGCCACAGGTCTCAGCAGTGCGATGGCGTCCGACGAGTTGAAAGGTAAGAGCAGGGTCGTGGCGGTGCCCATGGGTGCCGTTGAACTTGGTGTTGGATGTGGCTGCCACCCTGGAGGGACCTAGAGGGTCAGGCAGTCAGGTGTGGTCCTGTTCTGCCTGGTTTCAAGTCACGTGAGTTTGGCTTTTTAAAAAAAATGCAAAGAACTAGGACCATGGTGATGTTGCAGAAAACCAGACGCCGAGGAACGGAAAGCAGCAGCTGGAGAGACAGGAGAACTGTTCACTACATTGGCGGGCACAGGTGTTGGGGAGCTCGAGGGTATCTACTATTTCTCGTATATTATCCTCATTTTTCTTGGTTGTTTTTTCAATCTTTTTGGTACTTTTCTCAAGGTCAGAGGTTTTGTTTTCTGCCTTTGATATTCAATCTTCTGCGTGATCTAATCTACTTTTAATACTTTTGAGGGAGATTTTAAGTTCCTGTATCACATTCTTCATCCCTTACAATTCCACTTGATTCTTTTCTTTTTTAAGAATAATTTATTTAATTTTTAATTTATTCATTCACATATTTTAATTTGACCAGAGAGAGACATAGAGAGAGGAAGAGAGGGAAAGCAAGAAAGCAAGCCACCAGTTCTGGGACTCAAATTGTTGTTGGCCATGTGGGAGTGTCCAGCGCCTTAATCACCACGCCACCTGCTGGTCCCAGTCCTCCCTGTTTCTAAAGAACAGGTGCGTCTCCTACTGAGCTGCTGAGCTTCACCTCAGGAGCAAAGAAAAGATCCCATGGCACATGTGCGCCACACACTATCCAAAACATCGAAGTCCTGAGGGTCCAGAGGCGAGTGGGGGGGCGATGAGCCACAGGTCCCGGCTATTGGGGCTTGGAACCATAGGCAGCCCGGCATCCGGCAAGGCTGCTAGCTTGCACAAGTCTTCAGACTTATTTCTTCAAAAAAAAGGGTAAACTGCCCCTTTCTCTGCTGCAATCTGTTCGTCTGCAGGACTTGTAGCACCTGTGCATGTATGGCGACATGCTCAGGGGAGGCTGTTTAAGCACCGGGAGGGGAGAGCTGAGACCACGGGGCTGCACCCGCCCTGCCCAGCAGAGGGCTGGGCTCTGCTGACTCAGGGCACCTTGACACCTTGCCTTCCTTTCACCTGGGTGGCCGGGAGAGGGACATAAGCTTCCCGACTCTGGCAAGATGTTCCGGGCTCTGGCCTGCTTCAGCTGACCAGAAACAAGGGAGCCATTTCTAAAGGATAAATTGGTAAATCAAATGTCTTACAATTATTTAATCAGATTAAGTGGCCAGTAAGCCTGTGTTTACTTGTAAAACATGTGCTCACGACCCACCTGCACTGTGTGGCTTTGAGGTGGGTAGAGCCTGAGGACCTGGTGTCACCCATGGGCTGCTGGCCACCTCCACCTCTGCCTGTAGTGTCGGCACCCGACCCCCCGACTCTCGTGCTCTGCACCTCGGAGCCCTGCTGGTCCTTGGAAAGGCGGCTGAGCTCATGCCAGCATACACAGGGACTGCACTCAGTCCTGCAGCCCGAGGAGCCTCCCCTGGCCACTGGAGGGCTCTGGGCCCTGCGGAGGTTACGGCCTGTGCTGTGGTTCAGCGGCCGCTCGGTTACCGTGACGTGCTGCTGGCAGGCAGGCTTGGCCCGCTGCTCACGCAGCCCGTGCCCGGCTCTTCCGCACGACCCATAGAGCTTTCTGTGACGATGGCCATGTCTACACCTCTGCTACCCCCTGGGAGGCCGCATGGCTGCTGGGCTGTGAATGTGGCAGGGTGAAGGAGGCTCTGGATTTGTTTGCCTGCCATGATCCTGGGGGCCTGGCTTCCGGTGGGACAGGGGAGCCCCACCGTCTCCAGGCCTTTGCATCTGCTGTCACCCTGGCCCGGCATCCCGGCTCAGGTGTCCATCGCTAAAGGGAGAGTCCCGAGCCCCCAAAGCTCCCCGGGGCGTGTCCTAGTGTCCTGTGGCACCCTGAGGACGCCTCCAGCGCTGCGTCCCTGCATGTGTCCTGGCTGCACTGAGCCCTCAGCAGCAGGAGCGTCCTCAGCTCGGCTCTGCGTCTGCACACCCTGGAGCTCCTGTGCAACTGAATGGACATGCGTGCCATCGAGTGACGTTTGTTTACTTAACAAACACAATGCCACATGCCAGCACCGTCCTACGAGTCCCGGCCACTCACCGCCTTTGCATGCATGTGGGAGGGCAGTGTGAGCATTCACCGTACATCAGTCCAGTGTACAAAATGAGATTTTCCATCCAGCGTACATGGTACGTCGGCTCAATCAGGGACATGACCACGCGGGATCATGAAATAATTTTCTATTTTTTGTTTCTTATATTTGTATATTTCCCCTCACTTTAATTCCTTACCTCTCACTCTCTGCCAGCTTCCCCCCTTCTCCCGCACTGTCTCTGGTATATACAGTTGTTTTCCATGCCTTTTTTTCACATTTTATTGGTTCACTAAAGATCTTAATTGGCTTAAAGACTTTCGACAGCAAGCACAGCTGACATAAAAGCCCATGTCTGACTTTAGGCGTAACCTCAGTGAGTAAAGTGAACGTACTGTACAGCAGCACCTTGCTGGGGCTATTTAGCTTACTGCAGTCATTAAGTAGGGATTAATAGTTTATTAAAAATGCATTTTTTAATTAAAAAATGGTTTTAATTTTTTTGAGAGGTTTTTGCTATAGGACATGTGTGCTCTCCAGAAAGACAGAGAGAGACAGAGAGACAGAAAGTGAGAAATCACCCTCCAGGGGGGATGGCCACGGCCGCAATCCCTGCTCCTCCATTATCCACTTGGGTTCTTGGGCACGCACACACACGCGCCCAGCGTGAGCTTAAGCCATAGGGTCTGGGACTCAAACCATAGTTGACTACATGGGAGTCCAGCAACATAGCCATTACACCAATTGCTGGTCCAAAAGGTTTTTGTTTTAATAGATCAAAATTAAAAAAAATGTTAAAAGAAATTTGCTTAAAACTTAAAGTCAAGAAAAAGGTTAGGATTCAGTTCAGATAGTAGGTAGATGAACCTATCAACAGTTCAAGAGAGGACAAAAATCCTTAAATATGGAAATCAAAGCATTGAAGAAAACCAGTAATGTTTTAGTCTAAAGTAAAAAATTCTATTTCACTAGTTCAGACTCATGTAATTAATCTCTCTTCTATTGAAAGTGCAGTGTTACTGTGGTCTGATCTTTCCATTTAAACCCTGGACGTTAGCATTCAACTCCAATCTTGTCTCTACCATTGTGCAGTGTTACTTCTTGGTTGTTTCTTGTATTCTTATTTCTTTTTTTTTTTTTAAATTTTTGAAGAGATTTTCACTATAGGGCGCGTGTGCTCGCCAGACAGAGACAGAGAGATAGAAAGTGAGAAATCACCCTCCAGGGGGGATGGCCACGCCGCAATCCCTTCTCCTCCATTCTCCTCTCGGGATCTTGGGCACGCACACACACGTGCCTGGCATGAGTTTAAACCACCGGGTCCGGGACTTGAACCGCAGTCGACTACATGGGAGTCCAGCGACATAGCCATTACGCTAACTGCTGGTCCCTGTACTCTTATTTCTGCGTTCGATTTTAGTTTTTCTGGTATAGCACTCTTTTCAGCACCTCTTGGAGAGCTGGTCTGGTGTTGGTAAATTCTTTCAGGTTTTGTTTATCTGAGAATGTTTTTGTCTTTTTTTTTTTTAAATTTTTGAAGAGATTTTCACTATAGGGCGCGTGTGCTCGCCAGACAGACAGAGAGAGACATAGAGACAGAAAGTGAGAAATCACCCCCCCAGGGGGGGATGATCACGCCGCAATCCCTTCTCCTCCATTCTCCTCTCGGGATCTTGGGCACGCACGCACACGCGCCCGGCATGAGTTTTAAGCCACTGGGTCCGGGACGCAAACCGCGGTTGACTACGTGGGAATCCAGCGACATAGCCGTTATGCTAACTGCTGGTTCCCAGAATGTTTTTGTCTTTTCTTCCCATATGAAGGATGATCTTGCTGAGTACAGTATTCTTGGTTGAAATTGCTTTTCTCTTAACACTTTGAATACATTTTCTCATTCTTCCCTTGCTCACATTGTTTCCGATGACAGGTCCGACGTTAGCTGTATGGAATATCCTTTGAAAGTAACCTGATGTTTCTCTCTTGCCAATTTTAGTATCCTGTCTCTGTCTGTGGTTTTGGTCAATCTGGCTATGGTGTGCCTTGGGGAAGATCTTCTTGGGCTGATTCTATGTGGGGTCCTTTGTATTTCTTGGATCTGGATATTTGAATACCTCTCTAGGTTTGGAAAGTTTTCTTCCAGGATTTCATGGAATAGATTATCAATGCTTTTACTAGTTTCTTCACCTTTGGGGATACCAATAATCTGAATGTTTGGACATCTAGTGGTATCTAGTATTACTCATATGTTATTCTCATTTTTGGGTGTTTTTTTCTCAGCCTTTTTGGTGAATTTTTCTAGGTCTGAAGTTCTATCTTCTACATCTGAGACTCAGTCTTCTGCATGATCTAATCTGCTTTTGATATTTTTAAGGGAGGTTTTGATTTCCTGTATTACAGCCTTCATCTCTAACAATTCCACTTGATTCTTTTTTATGATGTGTACCTCCTCTTTCAGATCGTGCAAGAACCTCCTCACCTCCTGGAACTCGGTGTCTCTTCTCCTGCATCTTCTGGAGTTTGCTGTCTCTCTTCTCTTGCATCTCTGTTAGCTTTGTCTCGATGTGTATTTAAAATTCTTTATCAGACATCTCCCTGAGTTCCTTTGTATTCTCTGTGGAGGAAGAGGAGTTACTCTTTTCCATTAGAGAGATATTTTCTTGTTTTCTCATATTTCTTCTGCCTTTGTGTTGGTTTCTGGCCATCTGATGGATTACACATTTTTCTCCTAGTTTTTGGAATTAAATCTGAGCATTCAGAGGCATGCAGGAGGAGGTGACCTGCAGTCTGTAAGCAGTACCGTTTTTCTCCCTTTGCACAGCTGATTCAGTGAGAATTGAGGATC